TTAAGACAACAGGTCTGGGACTCAAATGGCGGTTGACTACATGGAAATTCAGCCACATAGCCATTATGCCAACTGCTGGTCCCACACCTTGAATTTCCACAGCAGTCCTTCCCCTGCCTACGTTTGGGTTGTGATTTCTTGTATTGAAGTAATTGATCTGATTCCTGTCTTTCAGAGATTCCTCGTGTTTCTTTCTGATGATGAAACTCTTCCTTCTTTTCTGTCTTCCCATTAAAAATATAAAATAAAAATATGTTTTCTGTCATTGGTAGGAATTGAGGTGGGAAGATATTGGCACTCGGGCTCACTCTGTCACTGATTAAATCTGTCTTCTATGTTTTTTCTTCTGTACTTCCATTCATTCCTTTGTCTATTGACCCCACAACTCCACGGAGCATCAACTCTGTCCCAGGCTCTGCAATGGACTTTCAAGAAGGTAATGCTATTGCTCATAAATATTTTAAGGGTCTAAATTTCTCTAATTTATTTTTCTAACAGAGTTGACGATGCTGTACTTGCATCAATCTATATGCAGTTTTCTTGACCTTGGGGTCATCCTTCCTAGATGCCAAGGTTAAAATTGTAGTGTTTGGGGACTGGTAGGTAGTGTGGTGGTTAAGGTACTGAACTCCCTCATGGCCCACCCTGGACTTATCCACTGGTTCAAGACCCAAACTTGGTGGCTTGCCTTCTTTCTCTGGTCAAACTGAATAACAATAATAATAATAAATTAAATAAAATAATTTTTTAAAATTGTAGTGTTTGACCACCAAATAAGTGAAACCAACTGGTCCATGCACTGATGGAAAAATTGTCTTGACCTCACTTGCGTGTCGTTTGACATAAGAGCACTAGCTAGGTAACTTTGAACACTGATCTCTAAAGCTCCATGTTTGATGAGTTTTCCATTCCTATCAATTTCACTTCTGATGTGGGTTTATGTTTAAACAAGACTCTTTAATTTATCCTCTTCTCTGCATTTCCACTTTTCTGCCTTATTTTTGCACCTGATTTTCTTTAATGCAACTTGTTTAGTTGGCTTAAACCACGATCTCAAGTAAGTGCTCCTAACAAGTATCTTGGTTGAACTAATGAACTGAGACCCACGAAAGGGCATCCCAATTTATAACTTCTCTTATTCCAATAAATCCTTTATATTGCTACTAATATAATTTTTATAGTGAAGATATGATTATTATATTTTTGATCAAGAAAACTTCAGGCCCAGCCATGGTGGCACACTGGTTGACACCACTACTTGGTAGGCTACGGCCACATGGGAGGCCCATGTTCGATTCCCAGCCCACTCTAAGAGCCGGGTGCAGTTGTGCATACCTGTAATCACAGTTCCTACTTGAGAGGTTCAGGCAGGAGGATTATGATATACTGAGACCCTGACAAATAAGAAAGGAAGCAACCTTCAAAGTTCATAATTTGAAAAATCATATTGTGCGCTATAGAGATGTACAATGAAAAGTGAATAAGACATCATAAAAAAGTTTCTTATGTGTATAAAGGGAAAGACCTTAAACTCAAACTTTCTATTGACTATTTTATTAAGAAATTTACATACATAATGGCAACAAAGAAAGACAATACTTTACAAGTGCAAATGTAACTGTTCTGCTGATAAAGCAGAATAGCAATTTTAATAATGACTGGGAAATTGGGATGCTGAGTAGAAGTGCCACTAATGAATAGTTAAGATTGAGTGTGAATATAAGAATAAACAGGAGGGCCAGGCAGTGGTGCAGTGATACGATACAATGCTCTGTGAGAATGACCCAGATAGGAAAGTTCTGGGTTGGTGCTCTGAGATCTCCCTGAACATGATCAGGGACTGGCTGAGGGTAGAGGTGGGTCATAGCATTGAAACCCTTCTGGGGGTGTTGTTCTCTCTCTCTTTCTGTCTCTCCTGCTCATAAAATAAATAAATAAATTTAACAAGAAGAATAAATAAATAAATTTAACTGGTACAATCTATGGAGTGAAAATTTTAGAATTTTTAATAGTAAATCAATAAAATTTTGGACTGGAGAAGACACTGATTCACTTAAGTGGACTATCTTGGTTATAGAGGTTCAAGTAAGATTGTTCAAATTTGTATATGAAACAGCAGAGGGACCAGCAGTTAGCATAATGGCTATGTTGCTGGACTCCCACGTGGTTGACCGCGGTTCGCATCCCGGACCTGGTGGTTTAAAACTCACGCTGGGTGCGTGTGCGTGCGTGCCCAAGATCCCGAGAGGAGAACGGAGGAGAAGGGATTGCGGCATGGCCATCCCCCCTGGGGGGTGATTTCTCGCTTTCTGTCTCTCTGTCTCTCTCTGTCTGGCGAGCGCACGCACCCTATAGCAAAAACAGCAGAAACTGAAATTTGGTGGTGACCATTGCTCGTATAGGGTGCGCGCACTCTCTGGAGAAAGAGAGAAACAGAAAGAAGGAAAGTGAGGAATCATCCCACAAGGGGGATAGCCATACTGCAATCCCCTTTCCTCCACTCTTCTCGGGATTTTGAGCATGCATGTGCACACGCCCAGAGTGATTTTCAAGCCACTGAGTTCAGTACTTCAACTGTGGTCTGTCATGTGGAAATCCAGCACTTTAACCACTGCACCACCTGCCAGCCCCTCTTACTTCAATTTTTATGTCTCAGTTTAAGTGCTCTGTAAAACCTGTGCTTCTTTGGCAGGATTCCTGTGGCAAGGATGCCAATGTATGTAATATTTCAGGGCAAGTAATGATCAATTTGGACAAACAATGTCTTAGGTTCAGGACATTGCTAGGGAGGTATTTCTGCCACAACTCATTCAGATATTAAGTATCATAAAGTCAACTAAAACATGTAAAATAAGTATAGAGTGGGTTGATGAGCTAATAGGCTTCAGAAGATCTGAGGTAAAGCTGGAGTCAGGTGAGACTGGATTCAGAGACTCAAGCAATGTCACAGAGGCTCTGTGTATCTCTCAGCTGTAGTTGAGAGTCTAGGGTGCAGAATAATATGAAAAAAGACTACTCCTATTATCATTTTTTTTGCCTAGAAGTTTTTGCCTTGGGGCATGTGCACTCAACCAGAAAGAGAGAAAGAGAGACAGACAGACAGAGACAGTGAGAAATCATCCCCAGGGGGCATGGCCACGCTACAATGCCTTCTCTTCCATTCTCCTCCTAGAATCTTGGGCATGGACACACATAGGTGCCTGATGTGAGTTTCAGGTCACTGGGTCCAGGACTTGAACCATAGCTGTCCATGTGAGAATTCAGCACCTTCATTGCCATCTGCTGGCCCCTCATTTCACCTTTTAAACTCTGCGCAATAATTCAAGAGAGACTTATAGACTATGTTAAGTGTTGCTGAGGAGATGAGTAAGATAAGAACAGAAAACCCATATTTAACTCTAACAAGAGGTTTTTGTTTATACTGGTGTCATTGGAGTGGTAGAGGCCAAAGTGAGATTTTCATCAAAATAGGACCTTTTTCTTCTTCTATCATCCCTCCTTTTTCTCTCTTTTTCCTCCTTTTTCCTTTTTTCTTTAGACGATTAAAAATATTAAAGTATGGTTGTTAGGGGGATGATAAAAATGAAGATTAATGACGATAATCTAAAATACTTGGAGAAACAAAAGTCCTTGAGTGATTGAGAGAACCTGGGATCCACTGCGGAAGAACAAGGTTGTCCTTAATATATATAGGGACAGTTCATCCTTTGCCACAGTAGGAAGGCAGAAATGCTGGTAGGTTTAGTGGTGGAAGGATGCATAAGGATATCAATTAGGCTTTAATAACATAGAGGCTGAATTTGTGGTACTTTAACAGGAAAGAAGAATATCACTCCTTCAAGTACACATTCAGGTAGGTTGGCTAGAGTTCTACAGTGGCTCCATAATGAATTACCCAGACTCTCTCTATCTTGTTGCCATGCCAACCTCAACTGTGTCTTACATTTGCTGGTCTAAAAGTGAACTTCTTTATTTCCTGCTATCATGTTTAAATACGAGCCAAAGGAAAGGTGACAGCCGGGGGGGGGGGGGGAGGTAGGGGGAGAATGGGAAAAACACACACCTTCTTTTTAAAAGGAGTCACTTAGAGATTATCCCTATTATGTTGATAGCTCACTGGCCAGAAGTTAATTACATTATCACTCCCTACTGCAGAAGAGGCTGAGTTTAGCGTTTGGCTGGATGACCATGTACCCAACTGAAAATGCTGTTCTTGAAAAAAGTCTCTGCTACAAGGGATATGGTAGGGTTTTTTTTTTTTTTTTCCTTCGTTCTAACGTCTCAATGAAGAGATGAGTTCATCAACTGAATGAAAGCATAGATGAGATTTTGGGGGTCTAAGAAGGAGAAGGAGTGAAGTAGCCATTCCAAACAAGGGGTTATGCAGAAAACTGTAGTATGATTGCCAGGCATTAAGGAACTACTTGAATTTTGTAAATAAAGGAAATGATGGAATCAGATTACCCGGATCCTCACTGAAGGTTTGCCTATTCGGAAAATAGCCTTGTGATGGAACTCTGTCATAATGGGAAGGCACGATCAGACGCACTTTTCACTAGAATGGAGATCTCGTGTTAAGTATGCTCGGTAGGCTAAGAAAAATGTGTCTTTGGCTCAGGAAATGATATCTTTGTTTTTCTCATTTTCCATTCTGTGAATGAGCAGCTTCTGAAAGGGGTTAGTGACGATGCCCATCTCCAGAAACTGTCAGCTCCTCTTCGTCAAACTGTATGACTTGGGCTGAAGTCGGTGTTGGAGAGGCAGCTATCGCATGCACACAGATGGCCACTGGTCCATTAAGTTAAAGTTTTCCATTGTTTTTCTCAGGATAGATAGCCAGAGTGGAACCTTGGAAGACATCTTCATTTCTCTTGTCGCAAAGAACTGGCGATTCAGTAGTCACAGGAGTTTGTAATAAATAACCCACATTGATTTCTATGTCCGAGAATGATTTTATTTCCCTTCCTCCCAGATCTCTGACATTTGCCCCAAGAGACAGTGTTGGAAAATCATTTACAAAGTGGTACCAACTTCCCTTCTTCTGTGAATATAAATCCAGGCAGGATCAGGCAGATCTGAGACAAGGGATCTAGGACTTCTAGTCTCTGAGCTTTCAACCAGAGTTGCTTTCTTCAAAAGGGTGAATCCAGATCCTAGTAACATTAGCGGCAGGAGGTGACCATGAAGAAGCTCTTGTGGTGTTTTCTGATCTTCATCGGCTTCTTTAATGCTTTTGGACAGTCAGGTAAGAGCTACCTCAGGTTATGCCAAAGATTTGATCTGAGGGATGGGGGGGGGGAGGGTGTTAGGAATATAGAAACCAAAGTTAGAGGAACATCCAGCGTGGATGAATTGGTGTGTACATGCACGTGTGTGTGTGTGTGTGTGTGTGTGTGTGTGTGTGTTGCTGGAGAAGGGACCATCTATTCCTCAATTCCAAACTCTATTTGTAAGTGAGGAGATAGATCTTTTGTTATCCGATGAACTTCCTATCTCTGGTTTTCTGTCTCGCAGACTTCCATGGAAAAGCCTTCGTGTTTCCAAGAGAGACGGCGAATTCCTATGTATCTCTGAAAGCGCAGTTAAAGAAGGCACTCAATGCCTTTACCGTGTGCGTCTACTTCTATAGCGAACTGGCCCCGACCCGTGGGTACAGTATTTTCTCTTACGCCACTAGAAAAAGTGCTAATGATATCCTTATCTTTCGGTCTAAGGAGAGTGGGTATCTTTTAGGAGTGGGCGGACCTGAACTAGAATTCAAGGTCTATGAAAACGCTGCGTCCCCGACACACCTCTGAAGCTCTTGTGGTGTTTTCTGATCTTCATCGGCTTCTTTAATGCTTTTGGACAGTCAGGTAAGAGCTACCTCAGGTTATGCCAAAGATTTGATCTGAGGGATGGGGGGGGGGAGGGTGTTAGGAATATAGAAACCAAAGTTAGAGGAACATCCAGCGTGGATGAATTGGTGTGTACATGCACGTGTGTGTGTGTGTGTGTGTGTGTGTTGCTGGAGAAGGGACCATCTATTCCTCAATTCCAAACTCTATTTGTAAGTGAGGAGATAGATCTTTTGTTATCCGATGAACTTCCTATCTCTGGTTTTCTGTCTCGCAGACTTCCATGGAAAAGCCTTCGTGTTTCCAAGAGAGACGGCGAATTCCTATGTATCTCTGAAAGCGCAGTTAAAGAAGGCACTCAATGCCTTTACCGTGTGCGTCTACTTCTATAGCGAACTGGCCCCGACCCGTGGGTACAGTATTTTCTCTTACGCCACTAGAAAAAGTGCTAATGATATCCTTATCTTTCGGTCTAAGGAGAGTGGGTATCTTTTAGGAGTGGGCGGACCTGAACTAGAATTCAAGGTCTATGAAAACGCTGCGTCCCCGACACACCTCTGTGCCACCTGGGAGTCTGCTTCAGGGATCGCAGAGCTCTGGGTGAACGGGAAGCCCAGGGTGAGGAAGAGTCTGCAGAAAGGATACACCGTGGGCTCAGATGCAAGCATCATCCTGGGGCAGGATCAGGATTCCTTTGGTGGGGACTTTGATGCAAAGCAGTCTTTGGTGGGTGATATTGGCGATGTGAACATGTGGGACTTTGTGCTGTCCCCAGAGATGATCAGGTCTGTCTATCGTGGGGGAACCAACAGTCCTAATATGCTGAACTGGCGGCAGCTGATGTTTTCTGCAAATGGGGACGTGTATATCAAGCCCAAGCTGTGGGTTTGAGGCCCTGCTGGTCTTGTAGGTATTTCCTGGGCATGAACCTCCATGGGCCCTATGTCTCTGGCTCTGGCCCTTTCCTCAGATGTAGGTCTGGCTTGTGAACATAGTCCTTTGCTTTCCTGCCCTGCCTTCTTCAGCACCAGAGAATGGAATTTAGAGTAAGTGCCTGGCTTGGGAGCTCATGAACTATGTTGGGAAGCTTTGTGCAGAAGAATCAGAACTGCAAGTGATTTTGTTTCTTTTTTCTTTAAGTTGACAGGATCTTAGAGATAATCCCTTACCTTCACTTAGATGAGAACACTCAGAAAGGAAAGTGATTTTTTTTTTTTTAAGTCACAAGACAAGTACACATTTTAGCTGGAAAGGGAGGGTTGGTCTTTTGTAAATTCCCCTTTCAGGACTGTCCCATAAAATAGGAGGGGCTTGTTCACATTAACAGACCTTTCAGTCTCAGAATTAGGACATCTGCCCAGGTCTTCTGGACTCTGCTCAACACGGAAGTACTGGGCCCAAGTGTTCTAACAGGCTGTGCAGTTCCTCCACTTTCTTGAAGTGCCCCAGAAAGGCACCCAGTGTTTCCCCTACTAGAGAAGGTCTTTGGGACCAGCAGTTAGTGTAATGGCTATGTCGCTGGACTCCCACATAGTCGACCGCGGTTTGCGTCCTGGACCCGGTGGCTTAAACTCACGCCAGGCGCGTGTGCGTGCGTGCCCAAGATCCCGAGAGGAGAATGGAGGAGAAGGGATTGCGGCATGGCCATCCTCCTTGGGGGGTGATTTCTCGCTTTCTGTCTCTCTGTGTCTCTCTGTCTTTCTGGCGAGCGCATGCATCCTATAGCAAAAAAACCTCTCAAAAAAAATAAAAAATAAAAAAAGAGAAGGTCTTTTATCCACCCCCCTCCCCCTGGAAAAAATGCAATATCCAAGCGTAGTTACTTTAATTGTTACTTCCAAGAACTTACATAATGTAGTTTTTGTTTGCTTATAGTGCTTCCTTATTTTTATGGTTCTTCTGGGGAAATTTCCCCACTTCATGGGAACCATGTGGGGTTGTGCATCCCTCCTCCATGTCTACATTCCCAGTACCCAGGCCAAACAGCAGATGCGTGACCTGGGTAGTGCTACCAGAGGACCTACTCTCTCCATCCTCCTATCCGGAGCCTGCTTTTGAAGAGTTACGTGTTCCTGGCAGGACCGGTTATAGACTTCCCAAGATTGAGCTATGGACTTTGGGAATGAGACACCTTCTTTCGGCCAGAATTCCAGCCTTAGAGGATATAAGTCTGGGACCAGCAGCAGCCATATTGTTTATCACTTGGAGAGACACTGAAGAAAGAAGCCATTCTGGGACTAGAAGAGCTGAGGGATCGGCAGAGCACTGGACCCTTGACTGTACGGAGCCTCTGAATCAACCTTGCCTGGAACCACATCTATATCCGGAAGTCCCAGGCCCATGAACCAGTAAAGTCCCTTTTCATTTCAGTGAGTTTAAGCTGTTTCATTTTCTTTTCTCTAGAATTTATTTATTCTTCCATGAGTGAGAGAGGCAGACAGACAGAGAGAGACAGAGAGACAATACCCCCTACACGGTCTTCAGGCCTTGATCCACCCCTAACCTCAGCCAGCCCTGGATCATTGGCTTATAACAGTTACTTGCCGCTATGTTTAAAAGGCTATTTTATCTTATATTCTTAAACATAGGCTCATTACATTCCATGAAGTATAATTTGTCTGGGATGGCAGCAACTGCAGGGTCAGATTTGCTAAGAATTAAGCACAGAATATTAGGATGATGAACAGAAAATCTCTGACACAATTATTTATGAATATCAGTTTCCATAATTGACTTTTGGCAACCACTGGGAAGCTAAGAAATTAAGGATACCTACTTGGGCAAAAGTGTGAGTGCAGATATTCTCTGTTGTCCAATTAGGACCAGTCCACACACCCTGACATTCAGCTAAGCAGCAGAGAGGGTTGACACTCTTTTCTAGTTAAAGAATACAGTCAGGAGATATATCTTAATTATAGAAGGCCATCCCAACTCCCCAGGGATATGGACTGAGCTAATATTTTCTTCAGAATTCAATTACTTGTACCTTACTACATAGTCTAGTGGACAGCCTCTGGCCCTAATAATTTTAGCCAGGAAAAATTTAACAGCTGGTATTTGCATTCGGTGAACATTAAAAAATCTTAAATAAAACATTCCTAGAATGTTTAAATTTAAGCAATTTAGTTTATTGGTGGGTCCTTCAATGTAATCTTGTTGGAAAATGTATCCCTTGGTAACTGGTGAATTGTCATACTATATAGAGTTGTTCGATGTAATCCAATTAAACGTTAGATGACATCTGCCAAAGAGGATAATTTTGGTTTGGGTATGGGTTCTAAACGTTTTTTTTCTTTTTTCTTTTTTTTTTTTTTTTGCGGTGAGTGGAGAGAAAGAGAAAGATCAATCATTATGGAGGTCACTTTTAGCTGTGGTTAATAAAGCTGTCTCTTCCACACTGACTTTCCCTTGTAGCAAGAATCACGCATCCAGTTTGTCCAGAAGTAGGATCAGGCAATTGGGCATAAGTTAAAAAGACAGAGGGTCTCGTGGTTTATGAAATCTACAGAGAAAAGATGAGACTGGGGCAGTAGCCCTGTGCCTGAACAGATATTAGAGTGCATTTACAGGCCAAAGAAGAAGAGGTAGACCAACAGCAGGGTTCAGGTTGCAACCTGAGAGGACACATTCCTTTTGGGACCGAACATAACCATGTTGATACAGGGTCAGGCCTGACCCAAATGTCTTCCTAAGCTTACCTGGAATGCAGCAGTGTGATATGCAGATCAGAAACTTAGAATCTCCCGGCAGCAGGCAGAAATACAGGATCAGGGGTTAGGCGAGAGTCTTGCACACTCTCCAGTAAGATGCAATCATGAAAAAGACATGGCTGAGATGAGGATCTGTTACAGCTAGGCCAGATGAGTGGATAAGAACCGGGGGCCTGGAGGGGAGACCAAGGACAGCCTCATAGTGGGGCTGGAGTCTGGTAGACGTGGATTTGGAGTCCCAGTTGACAAAGTGAGTACAAGGCTAAATCTTTCATTATTTTCCTCATGCTTTCCACTATCCCCAAGTTTGATGTGCCCCAGGGAAACAAAGAAAGCAAATGACTCTAGATCATTGAACGGCACCCAAATCAGTTTTCCAGAATATTGATTTCTGCTCACTAGAATCCCAGGGAAAGAAGAGAAATGCTGCTTTGACTTCCAGGCAGCTCTATCTTGAGTTAACTACCTTCTGGTCTCACAAGAGTTGAGTAACTTGCTTGGATTTCTTCCCTTCGGTTCCCTGTCCTCTACCTCATTTATGCATCTTTTCCATTTCTCCCGTACCAGAAAGTGGGTTAAGAGGGCTTGTTAGCCTTCTTCAGAAAATGCAGACTGCTAGCTCACATTTCCTGGGTCACCTGGCCCAGTGATAAATTGTGGTCTGCTGACTGCAGGCAGCATTATCACCTGGCGTGTTGATTGTGAGTGTAGATTCATTGACCCCGGTCCTGCTAGACCTGAATCTCCAGAGTCAGAGCCCAGAATATGCAATACCCTAAGCTCTTTTACCCAGTGTGCTTTTAGAACCATCACTTTAGTGTTTTCTTAGCAACTCAGGTGTCTTACTTGGAGGACATGCCCAGATCCCAGTGAGACTGGAGCAGATCGTCATCTTTAAAGGATCCAATGTGTTTGGACTCAAGCCATCGCCTTGGCCTCTCGATGGTGTGTTCTCTGAGGACCCAGTCATGGGCAGTCCCCTCTACTTTGAGTCCTTTCACACACACAGATAAATGATGCCCCCCACCCCAGGTTCTGTCATTGCCCCCAGGGTAATCATTGCCCAATTACCCAGTTACTCAGGGCAGATCACACGCAGTCTTAAAAATACCTTACATTTACCAAGTTCTCACCTTGGGGCAGACATTGACCCAAGTCCTTAACACCTATTAAACTGTTTAAATAGCAACCCTGTGAGTTAAGTACTAGCTTATAGTCCTCATTTACAGATGAGGAGAGTAGGTCTGGAGAGGTTAATTAACCTGCTCAGAGCCAGGATTTGGCTACACAACTCTGTGCTTTTAACCACTGTGGTTTTTCCTCTCTCTTTCTTTCTCCCCCCACCCCCCTCAAGAGTTCAACAAAAGCTTCTCTCTGCACCTACACCCCTAGTGGGGGAGGGAGAGCACGGGGAAGTGTGCATTCTTCCTCGTGGGAAAGCTATTCCAGGGTGCATATGTCCAGAGTATTAGCAGCCATTACTGGTGCCTGACAACTGGCAACCTCTCCCATACATGAATTAAAAAAATATTTTTTTTGAGAGAGATTTTTGCTATAGGGTACATGTGCTTGCTAGAGAGACAGAGACAGAAAGCAAGACATCATCCACTGGGGGGATGACCATCACAGTCCCTTCTCCTCCAGTCTCCTCTTGGGATTCTGGGCATGTACACACACACACCGGCATGAATTTCATATTGCTGGGTCTGGAACTTGAACTGCAGTCGATCACATGGGAGTACAGCACCTTAACCATGATGCCACCTGCTGGCCCTGGATTATTATTATTATTATTATTATTATTAATTGTTTTTAGAGACATTTTTGCTATAGAGTACATGTGCTTACCAGAGAGACAGAGAGACAGAGAAACAGAAAGCAAAAAAATCTCTTTCTGGGGGAATGGCCATGCCACAATCCCTTCTCCTCCATTCTTCTCTCAGGATTTTGGGCACGCACCCACATGTATCTGGTGTGAGTTTTAAGCCACCTGGTCTGGGACTCAAAGCTCAGTTGACTACATGGGAGTCCAGTAATGTAACCATTATGCTATCTGCTGGTGCCCTGCCCCAGATTTTTTCCCCCTCTTCGGATAGGCTGGGAATCAGACTTGGGCTCCTCAGCCTACCAAGCAGCAGCATCAGGCCATGATGGCTGGGCCTCTACTCTTCCTTCTGTTTTTAAAGAAAGGCTCGCGCATAGAAATCCCACCCGGCCTCGGCATTTACACAGCACTGGGCTGACTGTGCCTGTACCACACTGTTGAAGTTCTCTGACCTCGAACCTTCACCGCCTCCAGTGACGTGTACCTTAGACATAGCTTCAGGTCCTAGGAAGCATTCACAGGCATAGAATC